TCAGAATTTTGTTCTCGGCCGGGTGCGGTGGCTCACACCTGTAACCCCAGCGCTCTGGGAGGCCGAGGCAGGAGGATCACTTGAGCTCAGGAGTTCAAGACCAGCCTGAGCAAGAGCGAGACCCCGTCTCTACTAAAAAAAAAAAAAAAATAGAAAGAAATTGGCTGGACAACTAAAAATACATAGAAGAAATTAGCCGGGCATGCTGGCGAGTGCCTGTAGTCCCAGCTACTCGGGAGGCTGAGGCAGGAGGATCACCTTAGCCCAGGAGTCTGAGGTTGCTGTGAGCTAGGATGACGCCATGGCACTCTAGCCTGGGCAACAGCGAGACTCTGTCTCAAAAAAAAGAATTTTGTTCTTTTGTGCGGCCGAGTAACATTCTACTGTACAGATGTGCCAGTTTCATTCACCCATTCACCCAAAGACGGACGCCTGGACTGTTTCCATCTCTTGGCTGTTGTGGAATCTGCGGCCACGCACACTCCTGGACGTGCCTGTCTTTTGTCGTTGTTGTCAGCATCAGAATGGAAGCAGAACGCCTGTCTTTTTATCTAGTATCCCTGGTGCCACAGTAGAGCTCAGGAAATGCTGACTGCAAGAACGACAGGTTGGAGGAAGCAAAGGCATTTGACTTAGCGGGAAGGGAAGAGGTGGGGGTCACAGGCCTTCCTGGAAGGGGCGATGGTGGAGTGAAGTCTTAACGGATGACAGGGGTCCCGGTGAGGGCGCAAGTAGGAGGAAGTCTGGGCAGGGGACCAGGCTGGGAACAGAGGGAGGCCAGGTGGCCGAAGCTGGGAGAGGAAAGGGTGTGTTTGGAGGCTGGGGTTGGGGCCCAGGGTCAGGACAAGAAGGGCCTTGTCACTGAAGGGGAGGAGTCTGGACTTGGTCCTGAGGCAATAGGGAGCCATGGAAGGGCTTTGAGCAAGAGAGTGCCAGGACTTGATTTGACGTAAGTTCTAAGAAGATCCCTCCTGCTGCTCAGAGGAGAATATACTCAGGAGATGAAGGGGTCGGAGCGGCAGAACGGAGACCAGAGAGGAGACTGCTGGAGCCGACCTAGGGAGAGACGACGGTGGCCTAGCATGGGGAAGTGGTGGCAGAGATGGAGAAGTGACGGATTCGAGACATGGTTTGGAGGTAAAATCAGGACTTGGTCATGGTGACCATGGCCCAGTTCTGGTTCCCAAAATCCCCCCTGCAGTCCTTCTGACTCACCAGCTTCTCTCCACACCTCTCCAGTTCGCGGCCACAAAGATGCCCGGCCGCTCACAGTAGCGAAAAGACGGAGACAACCTGGTGTCCATCAGTGGGTGGATGGATGAACAAATGCCACCTGTCTATACTAGGGAACATTAGTCGTAAAAAGGAATGAAGCTACATGTGCTACAACACGGATGAGCCTTGAAAATGTGATGCTGAGGGACAGAAGCCAGACACAAAAGGCCACATGGTGTGTGATTCCATTTGTATGAAATGTCCAGAACAGGCAAATCCATAGAGACAGAAGACAGATGGGTGGTTGCCGGTGGGGTCAGGGGGAAGAGGGAACAGGGTCTCCTTTTGGGGTGATAAAAATGCTTTGGAACTAGATAGAGGGCACAGTTTCATAACATTGTGAATGTCCTAAATGCCACTGAATTGTTCACTTTAAAATGGTTCATTTTTCTTATGTGAATTTCACCTCAATTTAAAAATGAATAATAAGGAACCGTCACACCAAAGAAGATGCCAGGCTCTTGTTCTCTGACTTCCGCCTGCTTTACCATGTCAGCCCTCGAGGGGCTCTGACAGCGGGAGTCACAGGATTCCTGGGATTTTTCCCCACATCAAAGGGCAAATGCCCATGAGCCTGGCATTTTCCTTTCCTGGTGAGTGTCTACATTTGGAGACATCCCACCTTGCCTTCCCTGCCCTGGGAATTATGCCAGCATCAGTGTCAGCCACTGCGTCCAGGGGCTCCGCTGATGCCACCTGGTAGCTGTCTCTCTCCACGTCTTTCTTGTGCGTGGCTTCACTGTCAGGCAGGCTCCGCCCCCATCAGGGCAGGTTTTGCTCCTCCCACTTAACAAGGTCTCAGGTGTGAGCCTCACTGGCTAGGCTTGGGTCACATGCACATCCCTGAACCAATCATCATGGCCAGGGGCGTGGACCATGCTGACTTCCCAGGCAGGGGGAATGGGTAACACACCTCCCATGAAACTCTGCATGTGTGAGCGTGTGTGTGTGTCTCCCCAGAGGGGACAACACATCTATTCTCCATGGTCCACACGTCCCGTCTCCTCTGAAAAGAGTGAAGCCCAGAGCAGGAGAGGCCTTCCCCAGGGCTGGACTCTGGCATTCATTTCCCTACCCTGTGGGCTGGAGGCTCAAGGACCTTCTCTCTGTGGCCAACCATGTGCTGATGCAAGGCAGACCTGCGTTGTAAGAGTTCATTATATCTGGAATTCAGAGCCTTTGTTAGAGATATGTATTGAAATTTTTTTTCTTAGTTTGTGGCATACCTTTTTCTGATGGTATCTTTTGAAAAGCAGAAGTTTTAAATCTTGTTGAAGTCCAATTTTTAATTTTTCCTTTCACAGATCATGCTCTTAGAGTCTTGTCTGAGAAATCTTTGCCTCTACTAACATTGCAAAGATTTTTCTCCTATTTTCCTCTAGAAGTTTTACAGTCTAGCTTTATGGGTAGATCTATAATCCATTTTGAGTTAATTTTTATACAGGGCAGGAGGTAAGGGTTAAGGTTTATTTGTCCTATATGAATACCCAGTTGTTGCAGCCCAGTTGGATGAAATGACTAATCTGGACTTTTCCCTCCAAATCTTCTTCATTTTTCTCATTACTTAGACCCAAAAGTTTAGAGTCATTCTAGACTCCTTTCCCCTCTCTCCCTCACCCTCATTCTCCACACTCAGCCCATCAGCAAATCTTACATATATCTTAAACGTATGTCCAGAATTTACCACTTCTGTCCCCCTCCACCGCCTCACTCTGCTCTAAGCCACCACCACCCTCCCTGGTCTCCCAGCCTCGACCCCTGCTCCCTGCAGTCCATCCTCCCCAGAGCAGCCAGGAGGGACCATGCCAGACCTGAGACAGATCACGGCCCTGCTCTGCTCAGAATCCCCCAGGGCTCCCCATTCTTTTCAGAGTAAAAGCACAATCTTCCCCGTGGTCCACAAGGCCCCACGCAACCTGGCTTTGCCAATAGTCTCTGACCTCATTCCCTGTTATTCCTCCACTTACTGGGCTCCAGCCCCACTGGTCTCCTTGCTGTTCCTCAAACATGCCCAGGATGGTCCCATTGTGGGGCCTTTGCACATGCTGTTCCCTCTGCCGGGAACACCCTTCCCCCTGATGGCTACACGGCCTCCCTCCCTCATTCCCTCAGGACTCTGCCCCTCAAAGGGGCCTTCCCTGACCCCTTTGCCTAAAAGCTGCAGTCCCACCCTGAGTCTTCCTACCCCCTTGTCTTGCCTTATAGTCTTCCTCTCATGAATCATTTCTGTAACTTATTTGTTGTCTCAATTCCCGGGGGAGTGTGCCTTGCTCAGGTCCAGTGCCGGGCACACTGTAGGCGCTCAGTGAGAGGCTGTAGAACGAATAGATGATCCTGGTCTGTCTTGTTTCTCTTGCCCTTGGGCCACGACTGGACAGCGATTGGGATGTGGAGGGTGGTGGGGAGGAGGCCGCAGGAACTGGAAATAAAGAAGGGTTCGAGGGGTTGGAACTGTGTTATTTTGGGCAGGACAAAAAGACAGCAATTCCTATTTGCTGAGCCTACTGTTGTGCCGTGCACTTTATAGACTATGATTGTCTATTTGACGGATGAGGTAAATGGAGGCCTAGAGAAGTGAAATGATCTCACTAAGGTCACGCAGTGATTTGGTGGCTTAGTGCGATTCGAACCTAAGTCTGCCCAACTCCAGAACTTTCTTTCTTCACCTGGGGCAAAGGGTAGGATGGCTGGGCCTCCTGTACATTTAGAGCGGTCCTGTATTGAATTTGTCAGGACGCTTGAAACGTCCTATGTTATTTTTTCAATAAATCACAAATTTTCAGGAGTTAGAGGTATCCTTCAAATTTAACTGGGTGTTAAATTTGGCAAATCTGGCAACCCTAGCTGGAGGGAGCTCGGACTCCAAGCCTAGGACTTCAGCGAGTGGCCCAGGACCCCAGTGCTTCCTGCAGGCGATCCATGGCCTGTCCTTACCTTTGGAACCACAGCGAGCTTTCAGGGCTGGAATCTTCCTTTCTGGGATAGGGCACCGGGGGAATTCGTGAACCAGGCGCGGTTCCTTTAAGAGTGTTTTTGGGGGCGGGCCCACGGGGGCGTGGCGAATCCGGGGGCGTGCCGGGTCGGGGCCCGCCAATCGGGGGGCGGGAAGGACGCGGGGCCGGGCCTGGCGCGGGCAGGCTGGGAAGGGTTAAAGGGGCGCGCCCGCGGGTCGAGGACAGTCCCGCTGCCCCCGCCTCCTTCCGTACGAGCCTTATCCCTCCGGTGGCTGCGCCCGCCCGGCCGCCCGGGAGACAAAGCGCCGCCGCCGCTGCCGCCGCTGCCGCCGCGCGGGTCCCAGGCCATGGCCGGGCCGCCCCCCGGCCCCGCGCCTCCCGCGCCGCCGCCGCCCTAGGCCTGCGCCGCGAGGTAAGGCGGGCCTGGCGGGGGACCTGAGGGCGGACCTCCGAGGGGACGTGGGACCGGGGTCGGGCCGCCGTGGGCCTCGGGGTTCCCGGGCCGCCTGGAGAGTACGCTGCTGGGCGTCTGCCCGTCGGAGATTGCTCGCCAGTGGCAGTTTCCCCAGTGCCGGGGCGAACTTGGCCGATGACCGCCCCCCAGACCCTTAAGGGACGTCCGCCGCTGGGGGGACCCTGCGGACCAGCCCTCCGCGGGCACCCCCATTCTGCCGTTGGCCGCCCCCTCTGCGGCTCTGGCTGTCCCTTAAGGAACTCAAGACGCTCCTACGTACGACACGCAAAGGGACAGAGGGTAGCTAGGAGCAGGGCCGCACCTGGAGGACCAGCCCCTGCAAGGGGCAAGGGGGCGCTGGACAGGCGGCTCTTCAGTGTTCTTGGCACATGTTTTTCAGCCTGTGCATGCCACACCCTCTCCCCCACGCCCTGGGGGACACTCAGGGCAGCTGGATTCAACTCCAGGACCTGCCGTTCTGACTTCTGTCCTTGAAGTGAGTGCCAAAATGCCATGCCTCCGGTCCCCAGGGTCTGGGTTCTGGGGCCAGCTGTTCCCCTAGAGACCTTGGGCTGATTATTTGCCTTTCCGACAGCTCCTTCCCTGAATGCTCACCACCCACCGAGCACTTTGCAAAATGACCGATTCTTCAGGATTAATGGGTTCAGCCTTTCCTAGGAGGATGGATATCAATGTTCCCATTTTGCAGATGAGGCTGTGAAAACCTCAACTGACAGCAGCTATAATATTTGTAATGCCTTTCCCGGACGTAGCTTGCCAGCCGTTTTTCCTTATTTAGCTCGTTGAAGCCCCTCTACAACCCGTATAACAGATGAGGAAACTGAGGCTTGGAAAGGCGAAGTGACTGCCCAAGGTCTTCCACCCTGGACTGGCGGAGGCAGGAACTTGGCCCTGGCAGCAGAGTGGGGCTGGGCTCTCTCCAGTCTCCCGCCTGGCCACGGGCTCTTGAATCATCGCAGCGCCCACAGTGGACTCTGAACTTGCTGGGAAACAGCGTGGGGAGGTGAGCCAGCGACCAGGCCTTCCCTGTAGGCTGCAGCCTGTGCCCCTTTCTAGCCAGGCCGGGGGTGGCAGGGGCTGTGGGCAGAGCAGGGTCCTGTGCTGGCTGGTGACCTTGGACCAGTGTGGCCCCATCTGGGCAGTGGGGGAGGAGGGCTCCTGAACGTGAGGGAAGTTGCTCTTCCTTAGGCCTTGATGGGGTAGAGAGACCCCAAGATCAGTCCCCATTTGGGTGGTTTGCCCAGAGCACGTGTTTCTGGGCACAGCACCATGCCTTTGGGGAAGTTGTCTAACCTCTCTGTGCCTCAGTTTCCACATGTATGAATGTGGGGGGGGACCAATCCTTTGTCAGGCGGCTGTTGAGAGGTTTAAGAAGATAACTGATTCACTCTGCAGGTATTTGAGCACCTACGACAAGCCAGGGCCTGGGATTCAGACCAGAAAGCCCCCTGCCCTCCTACCGCAGGCAAACACAACCCAGGTAATTTCAGGCTGCGGCCCAGGAGAGTGACTGGGGGGTCTCTGGTCCAGCTGAGATGGAAGGATGAGGCATTGGCCACGTGAGGATGCAGGAAGGGCATCAGGCAGAGAGAGCAGCCAGGCAGAGGCCCTGGGGCGGGAATGTGCCTGGGGTCTTCGAGGAACTGACAGGAGGCCAGGGTGGCTGGGGCCGAGTGAGCTGGGAGGAAAGAGGCAGGTAGGGAGAGGGAAGTTGGAGGCCATGTGGAGGACTGAATTTGACGCTGAGAGAAGTGGGGAGCCATGGAAGGATTTAGAGCAGAGGAGGGGTATGATTGGACTTAATAGGCTCGCTCTGTGGGGAGTGGATTCAGTGTGCCCAGGGGAGGCCCATGGTGGAGGCGGCAGAGAGGCTAGTGCAGAGGCCACTGCGGCCAGCCCGGCAGGTCACGGTGAGGGCCCTGAACGGGAGGTGGGGTACACGGAGGCTGAGTATTGGTTTGGGAGAGGCTGGAAGGGCATCAGCTGGACTGGATCAGATATGGGGGTGACAGGAAAACCAAGGGCCATTTGCTGAGATAGGACATACTGGAAGGGAGCATTTGGGGAGGCCGAGGAGGATGTCAGCAGCCGCCACTGCTGAGCACGTACTGTGTGCCTGGCCCCATACTCTGTGCCTTCCACGTGGTCACTGTCTCATTATCACAACCCTGACTTAGGCGCCGTTACTATCTCGTTTTACAGATGCAGAAACAGAGGCCCAGAGAGGCTAATAGCTTGCCTGGGATCACCCAGCCAGATACTGCAGAACTGTCATTTGAACCCAGAGAAGAGCCAAGTAGAGCTGGGCAGAGGGCGGGGAGGCCAGCGGCGGCCTGAGAGGTAGGAGGGAAACCTGGTGAGTGGGCGGGAGGCTCCTGTGCGAAATGGGGCCAGGATCCACGTGGGAATTGTTTGGTTGGGCGGGGCGGCAGTGGCAATGCATGAACCCCATTTTGCAGGGAGAGAAACTGAGGCTCGGAGAGGGACAGCCTGTCTGAGAGGCAGAGTGGGGACTAAACACCTTGAGCCTTTTAGGGCTCAGGCTTTGGCCCCACCACTAGGTCAGGACAAGCTGATCTTACCTTCTAAATCACAGCTCATGTGCGTCTTGCAGGAAGCCTCCCTGACAGCCTAGGTGGGCGACACAAGGTGGCAAGGACACTTAAGATTTGGTTGGAAGCAATTGCCCCTTCCACCCTCGGTCAGGTGTGGTCAGCTGCTGCCACAGAGCCACCACCCAGACCTCATTCCTCCAGAGCCTGAGTAAGGTACCACCCAGGGAGAGAATGAACATTAATTAAGCACCTACTGCATTCCAGGGACTTGATACACTTCACCTCTTGAGAAATATAGCTACCACCCTATGCAGGGTGAGGCTGTGTAGTGGGAGCACGAGGTGGGACCTCAAAGTGGCCATGGAAAACCCCAAGGGGAGGTGTGGCCAGTCTGAGGCCCCATGTGTTGCCTCCTGGTAAGTCCTACCTGGCCAGTGTCATCCCCGTCGTGTACTCCTTGGGGGAAGGTGGATGAAATCATGGCGGCCAGTGCACAGGTGGAGGTAGAGGCCTCTGTGTTAAATGAGTACGGGACGCTCCTGCCCTTGCTCCCTGTAAGTCGGCCTAGCCCTGGGCCCACGTCTGTATTCGGATTATTTCATAACAGTCGCTTCCGCCTCTCTGACTACCTCCCCCTCCCCTCCCAGCTGTGCCTCCAGCACAGTGGCAGCTTCCCACTCCTGGGCCTTTGCACCTGCTGTTCCCACTGCCTGGCATGCCCTTCCCCCAGATGTCCCCCTGGCTCCTGCCCTCACCTTCCCCGGACCACCTGCTAAATCAGGTGCTCTCCCTGTCTCTACACCCCTGACTCCCTTCCCTATCTTTTTTTCCCATGGCACGAAGACCTTTGGCAGACATTTTATCTGTTTGTTAACCGTCTGCCTCTTCATCTCTTGCCACTAGAATGTGGGCACCGTGAGGGCAGGGACCCTGTCCCTCTTGCTTATTGCTGTATCCCTAGTCCTAGAAGAGTGCCTGGCACAGGATAGGTGCTTCATAAATATTTCGTGAGTGAAGTAAGTCCCTACAACTCTCTGAAGGAGGTTCTGCTTGTGTCCGCATTTCATGGATGGACAAACCAAGGCTGAGTCACAAACTCAGGGCTGGGACCTGGAAGGATGGCAGAAGGCCAGCTGGTCTCCTTGCCTGGATGATGGAAGCAGCGGCACCTGACATGAGGCCTGGGTCCGAATTTCAGCCCTGCCCAACCTGCTCTGTGACCTTGGCCGAGCGGCTGACCTCTCTAGACGGGAGTAATGCCAGTCCCTGTCACCTAAGGTTGCTGCAGGATCAAATGAGTTAATATATATAAAACGTCTGGTACGTGGCAGGAATTCTGAATGTCAGTTTGGGGGTGCAGGGCACTAGCAGGAGGGGTATGAAGCTGGCTTTCGGGGCCAGTGAGACGGGGGTTCGAGTCCTGTGCCTGCTCCTTAGGAGCTGTGTGAGCCTGGGCAGGCTGCTTCACTCTGTGAGCCTCGGTTTCCTCCTCGGTGCAGGGGGGACTGGGAGGCTGGGTGGCCTGGCTGCGGCCGGCACGGGACTCACTGCTGTCCTGGGGGGCAGGCCGCAGGCCCCCGCTGGCCGCCATGAAGCTGAACGAGCGCAGCCTGGCCTTCTACGCCACGTGCGACGCGCCGGTGGACAACGCCGGCTTCCTGCACAAGAAGGGCGGGCGGCACGCGGCCTACCACCGCCGCTGGTTCGTGCTGCGCGGCAACATGCTCTTCTACTTCGAGGAGCCGGCCAGCCGCGAGCCGGTGGGCGTCATCATCCTGGAGGGCTGCACGGTGGAGCTGGTGGAGGCCGCCGAGGAGTTCGCCTTCGCCGTGCGCTTCGCCGGCGCCCGCGCGCGCACCTACGTGCTGGCGGCCGAGAGCCAGGCGGCCATGGAGCGCTGGGTGAAGGCGCTGTCGCGGGCCAGCTTCGACTACCTGCGGCTGGTGGTGCGCGAGCTGGAGCAGCAGCTGGCGGCCGTGCGCGCCGGGGCCTGCCCGCCCCCGCCCCCGCC